GTCGGATATTATTGAAGTCATGTTTACCACCGAAAACATTGTTACTATTGACATGCATAAAAATATCCTTTTGAATACAATTTTGGTATTTATTTAAAGATAAGACATATCATGATATTAATATTATATATATATATTAATTTTGAAAATGATAAGTTTTTAATTGATTTTCTACAAATTAATTAATTACATCGCTCGACCAAACAAACAAAAAAAACTACAACAATTTAAGAAAAATAGTTTAAACAAAAACTAGAAATTTATGAGGAAAAGAATCCTCTTTTTCATTTTTGTATGAAAGAAATGTATCGAGGAGATGAATTCTTTCTCCAACCTTCTTATCAGGTACATGGTAATAGAGACATCATGAATAGCATATTAGTTAGCATGTTGTATTGATTTGGCCATAAACTCAAATGTTTATAAATCTTGAACCTTTTTTGCAATAAAAATTTAGATATTCATATGTGTATAAATCGACATATAACATATTTAGAAAAAAACAGAATTGTTTAAAAACTATTTTATTTCATAAATATATTAGATGTTACATAAAAATATATGTTTTTCTTTAACAACTACATTCTCCATGTATACAATAAGACCTATGCGTATTGCAACGAACAACTCTTTCACAATCTTCGTCCCTATGACAAGGCCAATGGAAACACGTTCCTCCTTGTTCATCACCACACCATATGCCAAATTTGCATTCATCTTCGTTTGTTCTGCAAATTGGTAAAGCTCTTGCTAAATCGGCTACAAGCAACATGATTGCGCCTACATGTTAAACCAAATAAATTATTTAGTCACCACATTTAGATAGGTTTTGGAATTTGTTTAGTTTTAGATATATATATATGTAAATAGAGATATAACTAGAGATAAGAACTCACAAAATAGCATAAAAGATAGGAAGAGAACAGATGGTGATTTTGATGCCATTTTTAAAAAGAAAAATTGTATAGAGAAAATAAATTTTCTTTTAATTTGAGTTTTTGAGCTTTTAATGGATTATATAGGTGTTTAATTGTTGGAACATGTTACGTGGTCTTTGAAAGTTTCCTCATTGCTTATTAGGTAACACAGGTCACACATTTCATTTCATGAAATTTCTCTTCACATGCCCATGCATGTATAAGATTTCTTTCCTTAGTATCTTTAATTAAACAAATAACAAGCAATAGAACGCTGTATGCATGTATATCTATTGATCGAACGTGTTATCCCTGTCTTGGATATTATAAATAACAAAAGTCATAAGATGCATGCATGCATGTTTAAGTATATTTCTAAATTTTCTAAATTTTCCACCCCGCATTACATATTTCTAAAATTTCCAAATTTCCAAATTTTTCCACACCACATTGCATATTTCTAAATTTTTCAAAATTTATAATTTCAAAATATATTCCAATTCATAATACATTGCATTCCAAAATTTATATAATTCCAAAATATATTCCAATTCATAATACATTGCATTTCATGGAATTTCGCTTAACTTCTTTGCCATTGATATGATATTTCTTTCCTCAATCTCTTTCATGTCGTGAGTGCATGCAACATTAAAATTACAGTGTTTTTTCTATGTACATATATGCAATTAATATACAATAAGAAGAAGTCTTCTCTATAAATTTGTTTTACTTTTTATTATCATCACACAAAGAATTTTTATTATCATCACACAAAGAAAGAAAGACGCGACATAATGCTTTTCAATTTTCTAAATTTTCTAACCAACCAAACAGTGATATTAAGAATTTTTACAGACATTTTTTTTTTCAAAAACGCAAGTGAACTTATCTTCACAATCAGTTACTGTCCTGTACTGGTAATAGCGTCTCTGCTGGTTTTAGGTTAAGGTTTTTTTCTGCTTGAGCGTTGCAAAATCAGCAGACACTGACACATCAAGTCTACACATTTGACTGCTGCGATCAAACAATGAACATCTTGCCAATCATACCTAATATCGAGATCGAGACATTACCCGTGCTTCGGCTTTAGATATACCCTATGATATCATACATAATATCGAGACATTAATTTAAATAATAATTCAAAACATTTATTAATTTATTGGATTTAGTTGATGAATCGAGCATTGGAGAGATGAGATAGTCAGATAAACTTACATGATGTAAGAAATAGTAAGATAAATAGGAGATAAATAGCTTTAGACGCCATTTTCTTTGGTGATGAAGTTATAGCTCAAGAGAGTATAAAGAAAATATGATTTATAACGAGAGCATATCATATTGTTAAACCAATATATTGTTGACCAACATTAAGATGAAATTAGATGATAAGTTATTTTTAGATTAGTAAGAAAAACATGCCTTGTAAAGTAAGAATTGACACACAAGCAATATATATAACCTAATAAGTCTTATTCATCTTCTACCGGGGCAGAGCTGGTCCTAAGAAGAAACTAATCAAGGTTTGGCTTGAGGCATTTAATAGCTTTATCATTTAGAAGCAATCATCAAATCAAAATAATAGCTCCAATGATAATGGCCTTTAAAAGTGAAGAAGAGGTAGGGGTCAATTAAATTCTCATGGCCGCCTCTAACTGTTGGGGGCCGGTTTGCTCCCTATTCGGTATTCACGTACCCATCACGTAAAAAAAAAGACTAGTAAATAAAGAAGGTGTTAAATGACCCCAAATTACAATCTTTTACATGTTTTAGTTATATGACAGATTGAAACTCATCAGGTCTATATGGATGCAGTAGAAACTTTTTTAAAAAAAAAATATACTATCAGTTGGCAAATCTATATTTAAAAAAAATATACTATCATAAGAAAATATATAGAAACTTTCAAGTCTAACTGAGAAATTCGCACACAAATATAGGGTCTTAATTGTAAATTTAACTTTAATGTCTTGAGCCTTACATATAAGGCCTTGACTAGACTTTTTCTTGTATCTGCCCCATATTTATTGTGCATCCACCACGTTCACATTTGGATAAACAGGCAAGATACTAGCATCCACCACGTTCACATTTGCATCTACCACGTTCACATTCTCCTCTCTTGTCTAATGTTCATTTCTTAGTAATAACACCCGGATTGTAAAGTCAGCTCTTAGTTCTCGTTTCTTAGCTAATCCAGGGTATGTGGTATTAAACCAAACATTCACTTGTTTCGTATCCAAAGCAAAAGTAGTTGAAACATCCAGACCTGGCTCTTTCTTATTATACCATATTTTCATCTCAATCACGTTAACTATTCTTATCATTTAATGCTAGAAATAGCTTTATATATCCTCTCAATCTTTCTTTGTGCATCTCCTTCCAAATGTTTGGCCTTTTTCCCGTTTAACTTCTACTCGTTTTTTGTTTATTTGGTTCCATCGGTATCTCCTTGTACTTTCTGGTTTAGTTTTTTCGATTTGTTTTTTTGTTTTTGAGTATTTTTGCATCAATACTATGATTAATCACTGACTCATTGTTCTTCATCCAATGTTCTCTTTTTCTTATGCAGATTTATACTACAACCAAGTGCTTTGGATCTCGTTTGTTGCTTGTGGACTTTTCAATAATCTTCGGTTTCGCGCACTAAGGTAAGGTTACTGAATACTAATACTTTTGGTGCAGCACTCATAAATTTCCCAAATATCTTTTTTTAGGATTAAGCTTAAACAATGTAGCTGGAAGTATGTGTGAAGTTAATGTGTGTAGTTGATGAACGATAAGTCACATTTATTGTAGCTCCGTAAACCATATCTCAAATTTACTTTTTTTGTTGACTACACTATAGGGTGAATATATGTATTTGACTGCTAACTACCGCATTAATAAACTATATACAGTATTAGTTTGTTGTCATAGGAGTCCTATAGTCCTATGATAGGACAGCTGCATCTAAATAAAACCTCAATTTACTAAGTGCCAACAAAATTTAGAGGAATAAACAAAGAATTGACAACGCAAGGTTTTCTTTATATACAGCTATGCTGAGATTTAGATGCGCGATTGCGATTACATAAAAAAAAAAAGAAGGTAAAGTGATAATAAACTATCATTTTGTGTGCTTATTGGTGTGAAATGAGCAAAAAAATTGGAGGCCCATTACTATACATATTGGCCCAGTGGTATGAGAAAGACCATGGGTCCAATACTAATCTTATATAAGCCCCAATGGAATTTCCATTATCTTTATTGATAATCTTATAAATACAAACTACAAATAATTACGAGGCTACAACATGTATCACGATAAATGATTCTCGGCAAATGTATAATTTGTTTCAAAAAGAGAAGAAACAATTTTTTTTTTTTTTTATAAAAAGAGAAGAAACAATTTTCTCAACAACTTTTTACCATATGTAAAATGGAAAAGGGTAAAAACGAAAATAAATTGAAAGTTTACAGTTGGAAAATTCTAGATATTGTTACCATAGAATTTTCTCAACAACTTTTTACCATGCATATGTAAAATGGGAAAAAGGTAAAAATGAAAATAAATTGAAACTTTACAGTTGGAAAACCAATACAAAATGGGAAGAAGGGTAAAAATGAAAATAAATTGAAATTACAGTTGAAAAATTCTATATATTGTTACCATAGGAGGCCTATAGTCCTATGATGGGACAGCTGCATATAAATAAAACCTCTATAGTTTACTGCCAAATGCCAACAAAATCTAGAGGAATAAACAAAGTATTTATAACGCAAGCTTTTCTTTATATACAGCTGTCCTGAACCAGATATATAAGTAGAAAAAGTTGAATCCATTTTTAGTAATTATAGGATTTTTTTTTCCTTTTGTGTGGTTTTGGATAAAGTTTAACTTTTAGTTCATAACTTCCTATATAGGTTTAGTTAACAATAGTTAATTGTAGTTTTTAGCATGTAATATTGTTTTTTTTAGTACGTGCGAAAGCTTTATGATGCTTTCCAAATCGCTTATAAACTTTTCGTCATCATGATCTTCAATTTGCAGGTTCATTTCTTTTCGGGTTTACTGAACCTGATAAAAAATTTATAGAAATGGGTTTGCCTTCTTCTCCAAAGTCATGCTTTGTTTTTGTTTTCCTCTGTCTTCTCAATGTTTCCACCATTAACTCAACAAAGCCATTAAAACAAGAAGCCGTGCTTTTTGGAGGGAAGTTTCCGGCTTTGTATGTTATTGGAGATTCATTGGTTGATTCAGGAAACAATAATAATCTTTTGACAACGGTGAAATCAAATTTTCCACCTTATGGTTCTGACTTTGAAGGAGGCAAACCCACCGGCCGTTTTAGCAATGGCAAAACAATCGCTGATTACATAGGTAAGAACAAAAGAAAGTTGCATTTCTCTCTTTTTTTGGGGGGGGAAGATTTATGTTTTACAGGTCCTGTAATTAATTACGCAAATAACGTATAATCAGATGGAAAATTGTATCAGGGTAGGTAATCTTATGTATAATTATAAACTAAATAACAAAAAAAAGTAGTGAAAGTTACCCCAAAAAAAAATTGTGTTAAATTGGGAATTGTAAAAGTAATAAGATTTTTTCCTTTATATATTTCTATTAAGTATACAAAATAAATAAAACAAAGTATTTGCTAAAAAAAAAAATATTGAAGATTTTGAACCTTTTCTAATTGTCTTGATATGTTTTTTTTTGTCTTTTAGCTATCTATTATGGACTCTCATTGGTCCCTGCTTATTTGGGATTATCAGAAGCACAAAAGAACACAATCTCAACTGGTTTTAATTATGCTTCTGCTGGCTGTGGAATTTTTCCTCAGACAGGAAAGCTACTGGTAACTTTTAATATTCTACAAAATCTTTGCAATTTCAGATTCTAAAAAAAAAAACAAAAATCTAATGGGTTTTATTTGATTCTTTGTATGAATTAACAAGGGATACTGTCTCTCGATGAGTGTTCAAGTCGATCTATTCAAGGATACCATCGAGAAGAATCTGAAGAAACAGTTTAAGAAGCCATCAGAGCTTAGTAAACACTTAGCTGAATCATTGTTCATGACCGCGATCGGAGTTAACGATTACTTTTTCTTCTTTAATAAATCAACCGATGCAGATGCGTTCACAAACAAGCTTCTTCATGACTACTTGGTGCAAATCGAGGTAAAATAATTTTAGGGTTAATCCTAAACCGGAACCAAATTTTGATTGAATACTTATTTTAATGTGGCTAGTTAATCAAAGATACATTCTATCAAAGATTTTGATACTTTTGTTGTTGCAGAGATTGCAAGGGTTAGGAGCAAGGAAGTTCTTGATCAACAACATTAAACCATTGGGATGTTACCCAAACATAATAGCTCATACCGTGCCACGTGGAAGCTGCAACGATCGTTTAAACCTTGCCGTTGCTCTTTTCAACAGCAAGCTAAGAAAAAGCCTGACTGAAATGAAGAAGAAATTCACCAACACTTCATTCTTGTACTCAGATTACTTCAACTTCATGTTGGGACTTCGAGGACCTTCGAGCAATCAAGCTAGTTCGAATCTACTGAACACGACAAGCCCATGTTGTCCTAACGTTTACGATGGAGAGATGACCACGAGTTGCAGACGAGGTTCGGTCGCGTGTAAGGTGCCAGATACACATATGTTCTTTGATCCATTTCATCCGACTCAGCTAGCTAATCTCATGTACGCGATTGAGTGTTTCCATAAGAGAACAGTTTGTCATGTGGTGTGAGAGATTCATGACTTAACTGTACTCAGCAACAGTCTTAAGAAAACACGAGTTTAGTTGTTATTGATTGCTATCATGATCAATGCTTCGAAACATTTGGCTACTAAACCTTATGTTTTCGAATACTTTGAGTCAGTGCATGTGATTACTTTTTGTTTTTGATTGGTGAATTTTCCGCGGTGATTGATTGCATCAATGTTCTAAAAATGGGTCATCTAGACGTTTAGCCACTCACCTAAGCAGTCTAAAATTGTGGTTTACATGTAAACCATTAACTAAGCGGCTACAGCGTAGAAGACACTACAAAAGCGAATTAATTAAACACGAAAGAAACATATAGAGTTAGGACCAGTTGTTTTTGTTAATTGATCCAACTAATTTGGTTATATTATTTGGTGAACTTTCGAATTATCATGAAAACTAAATGTAGAATTGAGTTTCTCGGTAACAAAAATTGAAAGTAATGGGACATATATATAGTACAATTTTGATGAGAAAAGCATAAGAATTTTAAGTTTTTTTCATCAACGTGGACTTACGTTAGGTTTGAGTATGGAATGAGAGAGAGAGAGGGAGGGAGAGAGAGAGAGAGAGAGAGAGAGAGAGAGAGAGAGAGAGAGAGAGAGAGAGAGAGAGAGAGAGAGAGAAGTAATAGTCGAAATGAGAAACATAAGAAAAGAGTGATCAACACACATATAATCCGTGACAAAGTAGTAGTCATGACTGTTAAGTTTCTCTTTGATTCTCCTAACTTTTTTTCAGAATATCTTCCTATATTATCTGAGTTTATTTTCTGAAATTATTTCTTTAGAATTTAAGCAGGAGGACGAATAATTAAAAGAAAGAGAAGAGTCTATAATTGCGGGGTTAATACAGTATCTATTTCTCCAAAACCGGAAAACCCAAAAATCAAGAAATGGGTTTGCCTTCATTTCTGAAGTTAAAACTTCATTTGTTTCTAGTCTGTTTGCTTAATGTTCTCACCATTAGCTCAACGGAGCTAACAAAAGAAGAGGCCGTGCTTTTTGGCGGGAATTTTCCAGCTTTGTATGTTATTGGAGATTCATTGGTTGATCCAGGAAACAATAATTATCTTCTGACTGTAGTCAGAGCTAATTTTCCACCTTATGGTTCTAACTTCGAAGGAGGCAAAGCCACAGGCCGTTTCAGCGATGGCAAAACAATTGCTGATTATATTGGTATGAACAAAAATAAGTTATAATTGTTACTTCTTTAATTAATAGGACTTACGTTTTCAAATTTTAGAATATGTTATACAACTAGAATTATACAAAATAACTATATAAATTTATTATTTGTTAAATTTAGCTATGTATTATGGGCTTCCTCTGGCTCCTGCTTACATGGGATTAACTAGAAGACAAAAGAACAATATCTCAACTGGTATTAACTATGCTTCTGCTAGCTGTGGGATTTTTCCTGAGTCAGGAAAGAAATTGGTAAGTTTCAAATTTCTACCAAAAAAAAAGATCTTTTGCAATATCGGTTTCTAAATTTTTTTAATGAGTTTTTATAATTCTTTGTATGAACAGGGAATATGTCTCTCCATGAGTGTCCAAGTCGATCTATTCAATAGAACTATCGATAAGAATCTGAAGAAAAACTTCAAGACGCAGTCAGAGCTTAGTAGTCACTTGGCTAAATCGTTGTTTTTGACCGTGATTGGGGTTAACGATTACGCTTTCTCATATAACAAGACTACACAGGATGCGAATGAGTTCGCAAACAGGCTTCTTCATGAGTATTTGATACAAATCGAGGTAAAAAAAGAGAGGTTTTTCATTTTTTTCCTTGGCCATTACATTATTTAGTTTCGGGTAGGAATGTTTAGTTCTGTTAAACCGAATCTAATCTATCTGAATCAATCAAATTAACTAATCCAAAACCAAAACAATCCTTCCTTAAAATTGTTTAATGTTTAGGTTTTTAGTAGAAAAGCGAAACTACATCAACAAAACATAAATTTGTCTAAAAGTACAGATATTTTTTTTTAAAGAAAGCAAACCCCATCAAACCAATATACTGTATATCGATTCTACAATGGTAATTACTTTTCTAAAATAGAAATCTCATAAACTGAAAAATATGAACCGAACAGATTTTACAATGGTAATTACTAAATATTTGAACACTTCTAGTTCAAAGGGATTTAGGGTAGATATATTTTCCAACCTAAGATATTTTTGTTAGTAATCAAGATTTGTTTTACTAGAGATTTTTAATTGTTGTTGCAGAGATTGCATAAGTTAGGGGCACGTAAGTTTTTCGTCAACAACATTAAACCTTTAGGTTGTTACCCTAATATCATTGTTAAAACGGTACCACGTGGAAGCTGCGACCACGAACTAAACCTTGCGATCACAATTTTCAATGACAAGCTTAGAGCAAGCCTGTCTGAAATGCATCACAGACTCTTCAACACTTCCTTTTTATACTCCGACTACTTCAACTTCATGTTGGAGCTACGTGGACCTTCGAGCAATCGAGCTAGTTCGAATCTATTGAACACGACAAGCCCATGTTGTCCTGAGGCTTATGATGGAGGTTTAACCACGGCTACTTGTTTGCCGGTTTCGAGCGTGTGTAAGGAACCGGACAGGTATATTTTCTTCGATCCGCGCCATCCAACTCAAATAGCAAATTTCATGTATGCGATTCGCTGTTTCCAGGAGAGAAAAATTTGTCATGTTGTTAAAAATTCGACTCGATTAGTATAGCAGATGTATAATGCAACAGTGTAATAACCGAATGGTAGAACAGCAAGAAGAAAATATAAACTGGATAAAAAAATTCATGCAGAATAAATCACAAAAGGCTGAAAATTAGTTTTAATTTAATCAATTAATAATATTTCAATTTTTTTTTTTGTAGTGATATTTTAATACGTTTGTAGTACATAGCAGAATTTTGTTTAATTACTTGATAAAATAGTATTTTGAATGTTAAGAAACGTAAACATATAGTATACCATGTATCAGCATTTGTTGTTTTATAAGTATTCTGCATTAATCTTAGAAAATGCACCAGTTTAGTAGTTGTTAATTTTTAAGTCTCGTTATCAATGTTTTGAAACATTTTTGCTATAATCTTAACGTTTGAATCTTGGATTCAACGAGATTACTTTTTGATTGATTTCTCCAAAGTGATCGTAATGTTCTAACAATCGGTCATCTAAACGCTTGGCCCATCCACCGAAGTGATTGGATTTCTAAACATATACTCCGATTTGACCAAATTGGTCATAGGTTACATATAAACATACATACATACAAAAGCTTCAAAACTTCAAAATCATGTAAACCATTTAATCCGTTACGACTTAAAAGAAACCAGACAAGCAAATTAAACACATAATATAACAAACATATTTTACTTTATATATCATCTATAGAGGATTTCATAAAAAGCTAGCATTTATTTTTGTGTTATTATCTTAGAACAGAATTAGAATTAGTTGTTCTTGGGAGGATGATGCGTAGCTCTCCAATAATCCGCAGTGTACGCAACGAGTTCATCTTCGTCAACACTTTTGCTTGATTTTTTCTCTGTCTCTCTATTTCCTTTCTTCATCGTCGTTTTTGCGTCTGTTTCTCCACTTGTCGTCATCAGTTTTCTTTCTCGTATCATCACATCACCATGTCCGATCATCTGTTTTGATAGTTATCAAGCGGATTTAGACTTTTAGTCAATAATTTTTGTTTATATTAAAAATCCTGTATACGGAATACGTTTTCGAATTTGGTCAGATATCGTATACCTTAGCGGTTGAAAAGTAGTCACGGCTTGATTCTTGATTTCCATCTTCTAGTGATGAACAAAAGTTACAAAACAAAGAACAAACAATTAATTAGTTATACTATATGTTAACACTCGAGCAGTGATTCTAATAATAAAACTAGAATTCACATGCATGCATGTGTCTATAGCTATGCATGCAACCTAAGAGTAAAATTATAATTGGTTGACAAAAAGAAATGGTTGAACTTTAAGATGAGTTAGAAGATAATAATCTGTACCATACCTAACCACTAATTCATTAACCTTAAATCATCCTCATATATAACGTATGGAATTATTTGAAGTGGATATTATATAATAGTTGGATTAATTCATCTTTCTTTTAAAGAACAGAAAGAGAAGTGAGTTTCTCGGTTAAAAAAATTCACAAATGATTGGACATGAACATATAGTTCACTGTCTTAGTCTAAATATAGTCATATGGAGACTTTTCTCTTTTCGATATAAAGCAGAGGGGAGAGATAGAGAGAGACAAACCATGAAGTGAATATCGAAAGGAGAAACAAAAGAAAAGGATGATCAACACACGTAGAATCTTTGATAAAGTAGTCATGACTCTTCTTGATTCTCTCCTTTACCTTCTTCAAAACTTTATATCTTCCTTAATCTTCTTTTTTCTGAAATTATTTCCTTTAGAATTTAAGCAGGAGAACGAATTATTAAAAGAAAGAGAAGAGTCTATATATAGTAGCGCATTGACCATAGGTTCGTGTAGCCATAATTTGTCCATAACAATGTGTCTCTGTTAACGTGTAAGTAACGTATGTGGATTCTTACGATGAAAGTTGTACTTGTAAAGTATTTACGATTTCTGCCATTACGTCCATATTTAAACCACTCGAAATTATATGTACACACATGTATAATGTACATACAAAATATTGTATGGCACATCGTTTTTATAATCAACACCGTTTGTGTAGGAGGTCAAAACAATGTCAATAACGAATCTTTTTTTTTCCACGATTATTTTTTAGTAATATTCAAATGCTCTCTCGCAAATTGATAAAAGCAGTCGAAGACACGTCTGCATAAATGCTCGAGTCAGCACATGTTTCTCTATTTTATGGCAAGCAATTTGTCAATCTCAATGCCTTGAATTTTATTTATACTATATATAATCTCATAATCAGTTATTTTCTGAAAGATCTGGCTAATTTATTATTGTACGGACAGCCTCGAAGAATAAACTGAAATTAGTTCCCTATTCTCTCTGACAATATGAACTTTTTGAAGGGTATAATAATTTATCTCTTTTAAATTCTCAATAACTTATCTTAAAAAGTCTTGGAGCTTGCTGAAAAAACTGGCTTGTTTTTAATTTGTAGGAGTATAAAAAATATCAAAACGATCCAGGTGGAAAAACAGGTGGCAAGGGTTAAGGGTTTTGATAACAGTACAAAATATATCAAATCGTTTCATGTGGTTATACAAACTTTACTCTTATCGTCACCGGTCACACCACTAGCTAAAAAAATTGCCTAGCTAACAGAATCTAAAGTTTGGTAAACAAGAATTTGCTTTGAAAACCCCCATATATATCGAATAAAGGAAACCGAAATGTGGTCCGCCAAAGATTGAAGTTTGTAAACAAAAGAAGATTACGTAAAATGTAATTCATAAATTTGCGTGTTTTCTGCTTGTATGCCTCCACACCGGCTTACGATGAGTCACAGTCTTCTTTAACATTCACGACTTACATAGTAAAGTGTCGTATATTATAATGTATATTTTTGTTTTACTAACTTACTATATATAGATATTATATGTTTTACTAACTTACTATATATAGATATTTATATTGATATTGTACCGAATTTAATCCCATATGTAGTTAGCTAAATTAAGTGGTTTTAGTTCACCAATAAGAATTATATAGACAGTAGGTTTCGTGAAAAGTTTGTTTGTTTGTTTGTTGATAAAGTATCTATTTTTGTTATTGGTCATTAGTTATTCATTATAATAAAAACACTTCCGAAACTTTTTCAACTCACAACTAATTGAAAAAATGTCAAGGTTACAACTCGTAGAAAACAGTATCCTAATTTGTTTATCTAATAATGGTTTCAATCAATTCATAAGTTCCAAGTTCCGATCAAAAAGAAAAAAAAAAGTCGATGTTTTGCATTTTGTTTTGTTTAGTCAGAAAAAGGGAGATTGCAAAAAGAAGTAGAAAACGGATAGAAGTCGTAAGTACTAGAGATGTTTTTATTAATTTCGTTAATGGGTAAATATGGAGTGTAAGTGTGTAACCTTTTGATTTCGGTAATATCCATAATTGGAAATTGTGTATCTTCGTCGGAATTATATAAACCCACGAAAACACACCTTCGCATCATTCTTTTATGTGAGTTATCTTATCACTTATAAATATTTAAAATCGTATTTATCAAACCCTATTGTTCAAGCCCAGTTTAACGTGGTTCATTTTCATGCGAATATAAACCCTATTATAATCTTACCTTTACTCACACACTTATCTTTTTTAACCTTTGTATACAGGCCGCAATGGGTTATACATACAGGGCCCAATAGGCTTTGACATGTTAGAGTGTCCAAGTAATCACATATATACTCGCATATTGATCGCGTGACTTCCACCGCCACCTAATAGAAGTGGAAAAAAATCGAACCGAACCATACAAAAAAAAATCAACTTTCATTTACATTAACCAAAACCGTTCTAAAAAAATCTTAATACAGTAGTAGCTAAATTTTCTGTACCGAATATAAGGAACTGAACTGGAAACTCAAATCCGAATCAAACCAAAATTCTAAAAATCAATTGAAAGGGATCCAAAATTAAATTCTAATTTTGTTTCAATATATTTTTCAAAAACCCGGAAACAGGTTCAATATATTTTTCAAAAACCGAATAATTTGAATGGGAAAAATGTTTTACTATTTTTTTTGTTTTGTTTCAGCAAGAGGCGCGTGTGAATCAAACGGATAATGCTACGGTTCGATGAAATGGCGATTCGTAGACCTCACAATCTTAAAAAACCTCTCTTTGCACCTTTCTTCTAGAAACCTCTACTCACTCTCCTTAAACCTTTCAAAAGGGTTTTTAGGTTACCCGTTGTTCAACTACACCAACTCTTTTCTCTCTAGAGATAGAGATAGAGATAGAGATTGAGATTCCAATCTTCCTCCTTCAGAGTTTCAGTCTTCCTCTCTGTTAATCTAATATGGCTCCTGCTTTGAGTAGAAGCCTATACACGAGTCCCTTGACTTCAGTCCCCTTTACTCCGGTTTCTTCTCCCAGAAACCAATCCCGTCTCTCCCATCTGAGAACCGCGTTTCTGCCTCGCGGCGGCGCTGGTTTGAGAGCCGGTGTTTCCTGTAGCTGGAATCTCGAGAAGAGATGCAATCGTTTCACCGTTAAGTGCGACGCCGCCGTGGCGGAGAAGGAGACGACTGAGGAAGGGTCTGGTGAGAAGTTCGAGTACCAAGCTGAGGTTAGTTCCTCTTTCATTTTTTCTAAAAGTTTCGAACTTTAATTCTGGGCATTTCTCGATTTGGGTTGTTTGCTGAAATGAATATGAAAGTTGATATTTTTTTGTTGTGAATACTCAACTTGGATGGTTTCGTTCAATTGTCATTTGCAGGTTAGCCGATTGTTGGATTTGATTGTTCATAGCTTATACAGCCACAAGGAGGTATTCCTCAGGGAACTTGTAAGGTGAGCCATTTTTTGTGTGGTGGTAATGGATTTGTGTTGGAATTGGTTTGTGTGTGTTTTATGCAGAAATCTGATTTGAATTGTGTGTATATCCAGTAACGCAAGTGATGCTTTGGATAAGCTGAGGTTCTTGAGTGTGACAGAGCCTGCTATGCTTGGAGATGGTGGTGAGCTTGAGATTCGGATCAAGCCTGATCCTGATAACGGAACCATCACCATAACGTATGAGAGAGTTCGTTGTCAATGTTTTTTTTTTCCTTCTAAAGTTGAGAATTAACAATTAGATCAAGTTGCTTACTTAAAGAGATTGATGCGTATACGCAGCGACACTGGTATTGGAATGACAAAGGAAGAACTTATAGACTGCCTTGGAACCATTGCTCAAAGTGGTACTTCGAAATTCTTGAAGGCTCTAAAGGTTTTTATTTCATCTCTCTCAAAATTAGTTCCTAGCGATTCAAAACCGATCCTGTTCCAGACTCAATTGTTTTACTATACCTCTTTTCGTTCAGGAAAACAAAGACCTTGGTGCCGACAATGGGTTAATAGGACAGTTTGGTGTTGGGTTTTACTCTGCTTTCTTGGTTGCTGAAAAGGTGAAAACTTTTAACTTTTGTTTCTTAGTGTCTTCTGTAAATTGTGTGTTTTGTTGTGAGGAGTGGTCTTAATAGTTGTCTCGGCTTTCAGGTTGTTGTGTCCACCAAAAGCCCCAAATCTGACAAGCAATATGTGTGGGAATCGGTAGCTGATAGTAGCTCATATTTGATCAGAGAAGAAACAGACCCTGAAAACTTTCTTCGTCGTGGAACGCAAATAACTTTGTATCTAAGGGTACTTTTCTACTCGATCATTCTTCCATTTGAATGATGCGTCGAATGTTGATATCTCCTCTTATTGACTGCTTGTTCTTGGCTGCAGGAGGATGATAAATACGAATTTGCGGAGTCTACGAGAATCAAGAACCTTGTCAAGAATTACTCTCAGTTCGTTGGGTTCCCCATCTATACATGGCAGGAGAAATCAAGGACTGTAGAGGTAAGGATACCAATTTTTTTGCAACTTATTACAATTACAAATTGTTAGAACACTGCAAACGTGGTTTGAACTTTTGCAACTCTTGCAACTCGCGGTAGGTTGAAGAGGAAGAACCAGCCAAGGAAGGAGAAGAAGAGAAAGAGGTAAATTTTGTGATAATCTCTGTATAAGCTGTCTGAAAGCAACCACTGTCCTTTACTTCTCCTGTTTGCTGACATGACTTGGTGACTTGTTTGATTCCAGGGTGAGCCGAAGAAGAAGAAGACTACTAAAACTGAGAAGTACTGGGATTGGGAACTAGCCAATGAAACAAAACCGCTATGGGTGAGCCTTTGAGCTTTTCACATGTGTTTTGTCTTCGTCTTTTATGCTTTATGATGTTTGACATACTCACTTGGTTATTGTTTTGTCCCTTAATAGATGCGCAATGCAAAGGAAGTTGAAAAGGAGGAGTACAATGAGTTTTACAAGAAGGCTTTCAATGAGTTCTTGGATCCACTTGCTCACACACACTTCACAACAGAGGTGCTTACACATTTTGTTATATGTGTGTATAGACATATTACCTTATTATTCCTTTGACTGGATGCTTATCGTTTTCTTGTTTCTCAAAAGGGCGAGGTTGAGTTCAGGAGCATTCTATACATCCCTGGGATGGGTCCTCTTAACAATGAGGACGTTACAAACCCGAAAACAAAGAACATTCGTCTCCACGTGAAGCGTGTGTTTATATCTGATGACTTTGATGGAGAGCTGGTGAGTCTAGGTTCCTAATCTAGAAATCATTCTAAAACATAGAACCACACTGTCTCTCTTGACGATCTAGATTAGCTCTGGTTCCATTTTTTGCTTAAACATGTTTCATTATCTGTTTGCAGTTCCCGAGATACTTGAGCTTTGTGAAGGGTGTGGTTGACTCAAACGATCTCCCTCTTAACGTTTCACGTGAAATTCTCCAAGAAAGCAGAATCGTAAGTGGTGCCTCATTTAGTGATACACAAATTCTATATGAATCACACACATACATGAGAATACATATCTTGTGGTAATTTTCAGGTAAGAATCATGAGAAAGAGGCTCATCAGGAAAACTTTTGACATGATACAAGAAATATCCGAAAGTGAAAACAAAGAGGTTAGTGTCTTCTCATTAAACCATTCTGTTCCCTTAAAGCTCATTTGAAATCTCCAAATATTCATTTTGTGGTGTCAATGATTTCAGGATTACAAGAAATTCTGGGAGAACTTTGGTAGATTCCTTAAATTGGGTTGTATTGAAGACACTGGTAACCACAAACGTATCACACCGTTGCTTAGATTCTACAGTTCCAAGAACGAAGAGGAATTGACGAGCTTGGATGAGTATATCGAGAACATGGGAGAGAACCAAAAGGCAATCTACTATCTTGCGACCGATAGTCTTAAAAGCGCAAAGTCGGCTCCTTTCTTGGAGAAACTAATTCAAAAGGATATTGAGGTCTGTATATGATACAATATTAGTTTTTTTCTCAACTTATAAACTTAAAATTGTCTTGATGCTTGATGCTTGATGCTTGATTCTGATTTGATTTTTGTTTTGTTTGCCATTGGTGTTTGTTAATTATAGGTTCTTTACTTGGTTGAACCAATCGATGAAGTTGCGATTCAGAATTTACAAACCTACAAAGAAAAGAAGTTTGTTGATATCAGCAAAGAAGATTTGGAACTCGGTGACGAAGATGAAGTAAAGGAAAGGGAAGCTAAACAAGAGTTTAATCTTCTCTGTGACTGGATTAAGCAACAGCTCGGCGACAAAGTTGCCAAAGTCCAAGTCTCGAATCGTTTGAGCTCTTCTCCTTGCGTGCTCGTCTCTGGCAAGTTCGGTTGGTCGGCTAATATGGAAAGGTTAGTACTTTTAGCAGCTAGAAGAAAATAACAACTTAAATAAATGTGAAATCAACACCAGAAAACTCAAAAAGTGTTTGTTTATGGTGAAAGGTTAATGAAAGCACAAGCTCTTGGAGACACTTCAAGCTTGGAGTTCATGAGAGGTAGGAGAATACTGGAGATCAATCCAGATCATCCCATCATCAAAGACTTGAATGTAAGTGTTGTGCCATTTCGTCTCTACATCTTGTCTTAGAGATCTCGTGAGCAGCCATTTGATTTGTTTTTGTTGGGTTTTCTGCATATGTATGTGCAGGCTGCTTGTAAGAATGCACCTGAGAGCAGTGAAGCAACAAGAGTGGTTGATCTTTTATATGACACTGCTATAATCTCGAGTGGATTCACTGTAAGGAATCTAAAAACTCTTAGCTTTCTTGTCTCTCAGTAATAAAGTCTTGACCTTTTTACTCACGTTTGATGTGTTTATCGAGCAGCCCGATAGCCCTGCCGAGCTAGGGAACAAGATTTATGAGATGATGGCGATGGCGGTTGGAGGAAGATGGGGCCGTGTTGAAGAAGAAGCTGCAGAAGAAGAAAGCTCGACTGTGAATGAAGGAGATGATGGCAAAGATGGAGAAGCAGAAGTAATTGAACCATCTGAAGTTAGGGCAGAGAGTGATCCTTGGCAAGATTGATTTTTGATCCTCTCTCCTTTTTCTTCTTCTCTGCAGTGACTTTTTTGACACAAAATGCTTTTCTTTCTATTTAGGATTGTCTTTGTGTTTCGGGGTACACTAGTATCATGGGCTTTATGAAAGCCCATTATTGGATAACGTGTGACGAGAATTAGTTCCAATAATTTTTGAGTTTCTCATATATAGACTCAATATACATTAAACAATATCTCCGATTCCAAATTACTTAACCCTACTCTGTAATACTCTAAGCTGTAACTCATGAAAATGTTGAAACTTGCTAAACATCATTATATGATATAAAACATGTGTCCGAAAAAGATATAAGTTTTATTATAAGATTACTATTATATAAACCACCGAAATACATTTATTTTATTATTATTATATATATGGTCTTTCTTTTGAGGCTTTTGTATAACAGCTATATAGCTCATATGAATCTCGGGATACCGAGAATGGAAAAGCCTCGAAAGAAAAGTCACACCCTCGTCAAAAGTCAAGACTGGTTTTTAGCAATAGAATTTGTCTAACGTCGGAAAAGGAAATTCCTGTGAATAAAAAAAAAATGGAAATTCCTATTTAGGGACTTACGAACAAAACACGAAACCAATATGATTAAGGCAAACATATGAATTAATGGGAAATTTAACAAATTTACGACGACTAGGAATATGGAAACTCTAGCGAATCTCAAAGTCTACATAAATACACACATCATTACTGATTCATCGTTCACAGAGAAAACTCTTTTGATTAATTCCGTCGAGTTATGGACGTCATCTACGACCACTTGATGGGGAGCTGCTAACTAAATACTAGTTGCCAAAAAGTTGACGACGACTGGTTTCTTTGGGTGTCACGAGTCCTAGAGGTTTGCAACATTGATGACAAGAACCTGTTTTGCCAAAACACGTACCGTCACGCCCGTGTCCTAGCGCGTGACGAAAACGGTTGCAGCCTAGTCAAGAAAGCCATAACCGTGGCTGATGATCTCCTCAAATCTGATTTCCTTGACCTATTCGCAGAGGACGCTTACGAGCGAAGCATGGACGATTTAGGAATCTCCTTAATCCAACATGTGCTTAGCCTCGACTTTACACAGAGAACCACACAAGATAACACACGCTTGCACGAGCTTCTGGCAGAGTTTGATGAGATTCTCCCGACATCTGATCTCGTGGAGCTTCATAGGCTTGCCTCGAAGCTGACGTCAGATTCTGATCTCTTTGTCGAGTTTGTCAACACAAAACGAGGCTCGCTCATGGCTCACATAATCCTAGGAACATCAGAAGAAGTCGACTTAGTTTTTTCGGAAGCAATCAGACAAAGCTACACCGATGTTGTACTCAATCATTACGGCCGGAACATCATTGTACGAACCGTAAATCTTCTCGAGAAAAGAGGAAACTCGAAATTTTATGACCAAATCCTACGCCTAAGTGGATACAACGCTCTCTACCTAGCAACGGAACCTGATCGTGCAAACTTCTTGCTAAGAAACGGGATTAATTTCCACCAACCGCACTGTACGGAGTTGATCGCTTGTGGGCTTCAGTGTCACTACATTGAGCTTTCCTTTCTGAAACATGGAAGCAACATCGTGGCCCATCTTCTCTGTGAAGATGAAAAGTTGCCTTTGATTTGTATGGTGATGGAGATTTGATTTGTATGGTGATGGAGATTGTCATGTGTGATGAAGATACGTTGGTGAGGTTGGCTAATGATGAATACGGGAATCCAGTTTTGAAAAAGACTCTGGAACTTGCCAAAGAGCATAGGCCTGATTTGTTTGGTGATCTTGTTGACAAGCTCAAGCCACTTCTTGATTGCAATTGCTTGCGTGGGTCTCGCGGAGAAAACATTGTAGCTTTCATCATCGAGAAATAATTTGCCTTTTGCAAAGCTTAGTTTCAAAGTTTGTTTCGTTTAATTCTTTGTTTTTTTTTTATGAATATATATAATACTGTATAATTATTTGCTACGGCTTATATAAATTGAAACGAAAGTCTTTCTTAGCTTTAAGCTTCTTAAAGCCTCCATATTACAATTTGAGAGAGCTTCTTTACACTTTCTTCAATGGTTTCTTGTTAATCATATTACAATCTTTTCACCATTACAATTCTTCTTCTCTCCTTCACATTAACTTCTCTTGCCGGTAACGCTGAAAACGGTGACGTAAGTGAATGCAAAGCTGAATCCGGAGATCCATTATGCCACAACAACAAAGAAGCACAAAAGCTTAAACTCATAGCAACCCCCATCGATCTTAGCGGCGAGCATGATCGGTGTTTCCTTACCGTTGTTCACTCGCTCGGTTCCTGCTTTAGGACCCGACCGAAATCTGTTTCCGGTCATTAAAAGTTTATCCTCAGGTGTTATTTTGGCTACCGGTTATATGCACGTTTTACCAGACTCGTTCAAATTTCAATAATCTCACCTCTAAATGTTTGCCTGAAGATCCGTGGAGGAAGTTTCCGTTTTCATGTTTCATCGCGATGGTTTCCGCTTTGTCTACTTTGATGGTTGACTCGTTTTCAATGAGTGCCTATAAGAAGAGAGCTATTAAGCGTGACCCACGAGTACAGCAAGTTAACCCCATAAAAGATAGATTTAATTAACTCTTTGGAGAAACAAGATGATGAAGTCAACACCCTAGAAAATGAATATAGTTTTTACCAAAAAAGAAAAAGAAAATGAATATAGTGTTGTAAAGAAACATGATGATGATCAGGTCAACGCTGAGTCAAGTCAATTTCGTAGGAACAGTCATTGCTCAGATACATTTACAATTTTTATACTTTATCATATTTTTTTTTCGAAGTTGAAAACTAGAACCAATTCAACTAAATGAACTTTCTCGAATCGATACATATTTCATGTACGGAATTTTGCAATATGAAAATCAGTCTGGACTTTGACTTAGAATTTTCAGATTAAAAATAAAGTCTCATGAGCCTTTTTTAAATGATATTTCCGTGTAGATGTTGGAACTAGGTATTGTAGTACACTCGGTGGTCATCGGTCTCGCAATGGGGCTTCGGATAATCAATGTACCATACGATTGCTTGTTGCAGCGCTTTGTTTCCATCAGCTCTTTGAAGGAATGGGACTCGGTGGTTCCATTTTACAAGTAAATATATAAATATCCACTAAATACATCACTATATTCGATAATCAAACAGTAAATCTAATGTTATTATTTGTTTTTTAATAGGCGAAATATGGAAGAAAAACGAGAATGACAATGGCCTTCTTTTTCTCGGTCACAACACCGTTTGGAATTGCTCTAGAGATAGGAATACAAAAGATATATGACGAGATAAGCCTGACCACGTTGATCGTTGATCGTGGTAGGGGTCTTGAATGCGTGTTCCGCAGATTTATTGCACTACATGGCACTTGTTGATCTCTTGGCTCATGACTTTTTTGGAGATAAATTGCAAGGAAACATGAGACTCCAGTTACTGGCTTATGTTGCTGTCTTTGTAGGTGTTGGAGGAATGTCTTTGATGGCTAAATGGGCATAGAAATCTTGAGTTAGACTCATCCTTAGTTCCATCGTTCAAGTAGGATATTCGAATGTCCGAATAAAATATTGTATCACTTAGTTTTGCACCATGGCTTTTATGTTGCCATGGGATGGTTTTTGAGAGATAACCTGAAAAATCAGGATCAATGATTTGGAATAAATTTGGATTATTGTAAAAAAAAATCTCTGGTGATTGGTGATTCGAAGGGAATTCATTTTCTCATGATTTTTCGCAAATAAATTAATTCCATTTTCGAAGATTCAATTAAAAAGAATAAATTAATTACAACAAAACAAGATACATAGTGTAAATAAATACTAGAAAATCATGAGAAAATGAATTCAATTTTATTCCAAATCATTGATCCTAGTTCTTCAAGTTATCTCTCAAAACCATCTATCAAATTGTAATTAATATCATCAATATTACAAATTTACAGTGAAAGAGATTAATTGATTTATTGGGATTATGAGTTTTATGATTTAATAGATTTATAATTTATAATCAAATCTAGCATTATTGGTTCTATGTTTTTAAAATTCATATTCAAATCATCTGTTATTAGTTCTATAATTTTTAAAATCATAATCTCTTTGTTATTGATTCTATGAATTAAATTCATGGATTTGATATATGGGGAGGGGGAGGGAGGTTATTGTGAATATAATTTAAAAGATTGTTAGAATTTTTAAAATCTATTGTTATTGGTTTATGGATTTTGACATTTTTATTAAAATCTAGTGTTATTTATTTGATAATTTTTAAAATCCATACAAAATCTATTGTTATTAAAAAAGTTTGGATTTTAAGAACTCTATGGTTATATTCAAATTCCATGTTATTCAACTAATTAATTCTAAATGTCTTACCAAAATCTATGTTATTGAACATAAAATTTATATAAAACCAATTAAAATCACTTAAACTTCTATGTTATTCAATCAATAATTTGTAGAAACTAAGTCAAATCCACTGTTATTGAAAATATTTTAAATAGTAGATTTTAGAAAATATAGAATATTTTTAATAATTTTGGTAGAGTTTGTTAGTTAAATATATATAAAACAAATCCCATTATTTTATGTGAGATTTCATATAATTTTAATATAAAATCATCTCAACATTTCCAATGTACAAAAAATCATCTAATTTTATTTTATTAAAACTCAAATCTTTTCAAATTCTCTCAAATTACACATTGAATACACTCCCTATGATTCCATTAAAATATTTGTTATTTAGACATGGATTTCAAACAAATTAACACATGGACCAAATATTTTAAAATTCTAGATACAGTAAAACCTCTATAAATTAATAATGTTGGGACTGCAAAAATTTATTAATTTATAGAGTTATTAATTAATTGATAAATTATTAATTATTAATTTATCGAGAAATTAATATTTTATTAATTTATAGAGAGATAATTCAGTTCAAAATTCAAAATATTTGTAAAAAAACAAAAAATATTATCAACATTGAAAAATTTATTCAGAAAATATCATATCAGTGAATTTAAAAAATAAGTCAAACAATTTTTATAAACTTGAAACAATAATATAATTATATTTTACTATATTATATTATTTATATATGCTTAAATGTACACTTATTAATTTATATAATTATTGGGACTATATTTTTACATTGGAGTTTCAAAAAAAATATTATCTTATTATCTTATCGAAATTTATTAATTTTTACACTGATCCGACTTGGGACCGGCAAAAATTATTAATTTATAGTGATTATTAATTTATCGAGTATTAATTTATAGAGGTTCTACTGTATAATCCTGAGATTCTCAAAACCAATTTGAATAAAATATTTTAATTGATTTTCTAAGAATTCAAACTCTATTCAAATCTAACAATTTTTTTTTATAAATTTAATTAATCTAAATTCTTTCAACATTTAAAATCAAACAATTCTATATAAATCCTTTCCTAATAACCCTCTAGTATAATTTTGTGGATTTAAAAGAATTTTCATATCAAAAATATAAACTCTGAAATATGTGGTAAAACCTATAGATTTACAAATACTCATTAAAATTAACATGTAGATTTGGAAGTAAATAATTTTTAAATCGTATATGGATTTCCAAATCAACTAAAATGTATAAACTAATAACACCAGTAGTAAAGAAATCTTATATGAATGGCAAGTTAAAAGAAATTCAATTAAATACAATCTGTTACCTAATAAGCAATAAGGAAGAAGGTGAAACTTTTACAAAGACCACATTGAATGTTGAACAATTAAACACTTATATAATCCATTTAAAACTCAAAAATCTAAATTTATTACTTTTTTCCATCTATTCTGAAAAAAAAATGGCCCCAAAGTTAACATCCGTGCTCCTTCTGTCTTTTATGCTATCTTGTGAGTTTTTTTTTTATTGGAAAAAACTTTAAAAAAACCTGAAGTAATTTATATTTGTCAAAAAAATACTTCAACTATTAGGTTTTCAAAAATAAATATAAAATATTTTTCGTTACCAGATTAATACACAAACATTTAAAATTTGTAAATTTACAACCATGATTTTGACGACGTCAGTTTGATTAACCGAAATAATAAACGATGTTAATTTTCTTTAACAATAATCGGATTTAATTTTATCTGAAATTGCATAAACCCCCAAAATCGATTTTCCCTAAATTCATTTTTCCCAAATTGATTATGCCTTTTTCTCTTTTTCTTCTCTTCTCTTAGCTTCTCCTCTCTCTCAATTCTCATTTCCTAACATCCAGCGAAAGTTGGTTTCTCTTCAATGGTTCAGCCTTTTACGATGTTGCCAAGATCTAGACAAGTTACAATGGTGGGATCTCCTGGTTATGGAATGGGAGGCAAAGTTTAACCGATTCCTGAATGAAAGCTTTCAATGGATGATGAAAGCTTTCTGGAAAGGAGCTCCGGCGTTCTAACTACTACTCTTCTTTCAACTTTTGTTTTTATTTTCTAATATTTTTCTTTCTTTTTTGTTTTCTTTGCTTTTGTGGGGGTAAGCAAGCAATCACCACATTTCATTAATTGGAAGAATAGTTTGTACACTTTTATTTGAATCTGTTGATAACGATAATATAAGATGGAGAAATAAAAAGTTTCGGTTCCAAGAATACTAAAAATCATCAAGTTTTGCTTCCAACATGTTTTGGAATCCATACTTTAGTCTTTTTTTTTTTGTTCAAAATCCATTCTTTAGTCTAAACTCTAAACAATAGAGTCCAAATCAACTTCACACCAAGATAAGCGAATTAAATAGTGTTAAAAACCAACAATACACAGAGAAGAAGGAAGTGAGAATTGAGAGAGAAGAGAAGCCAAGAGAAGAGGAGAGAAGCGAAGAGAAGAGAAGAGAAGAAGAAGAGGAAAAGGTGTAATCAATTTGGGGAAAATAAATTTAGGGCAAATCGATTTGGGGGGTTTTATGCAATTTCAGATAAATTAAATCCGATTGTTCTTAAAAAAAATTAACACTGTTTATTATTTCTGTTAATCAAGATGATGTCGTCAAAATCATGGTTGTAAATTTACAAATTTTAAATGTTTGTGTATTAATCTGGTAATAAAAAATATTTTATATTTCTTTTTGAGAACTTAAATAGTTGAAGTATTTTTTTGGCAAATATAAATATATATTTTTTGGCAAATATAAAGGTTTTTTTCCTTTTTTTTTCTAGTTATATCTCTATTTACCTATATCTAAAAACTAAACAAACTCTAAAGCATGTCTAAATATCATAACTAAATCAAATATTTGATTAACATGTAGGCGCAATCATTGCTTGTGGCTGATCTAGCTAGAGCAGAGAGTCCTCGCCCTTTGCCACAATATGATCAAAAAATGAATGCGAATTCAGCATATGGTGTGGTGATGGAAAAGGAGGAAAGTGTATCAATTGGACTTGTGACTTGCAAGAAGATTGTCTAAAACGTGTTCGTTGCAGTGATACACCAAGGACTTACTGTATGGAAAGAACGTGTCAGTGTTGAAGAAAAACGCATAGTTTTATTTTATATATGTAACCCAATTTCTAATGCATTAAAGGAAAAAGAATAGTGTTTGCAATTCTCACCTTTTGCCTACAGTTACAGAGATTCCAGATTCATCAAAACCAATAAAAAGAATTTATTAATTTGTGGACAGAAATATAGCTTGATATTTTAAGTTTTGTACAATTTCAATTAGTTCATATATTTCAAATGTTATATTAAGTTTTATACAATTTAAATTAATTATTTTTTTTGCATATTTTGATGTTCTTTATGCTTTGAAAAAGAGTATGACTTGTTAGAGAATACGCCCAATGAGACTCTCGGTTTCAATCCACAACATTTATCATCGTCAATCTCTTCTCAATTCCGCCATCATCGTCAATCTCACAATTGTCCATTGATTGCAGATTGATACGATTGCACATATCATTAATATAATTTTGGATATTTGTAATTATGATTGATTGATCTTTTGATTCCTTTTGCTTTGAATATATTTCTTAGGATGAACTCTTGAATTAATACACATAAATTTCTCATCTCCTGTCTGATTATTTTCATGACTATTTAAAGTAATTGTTTAATTCATATACAAAAGTACTAGATGAAGTAATGAAAAGGTGTAGATATTTTCTTTAATATGTTTTAGCATATTTGTCTTTGTAATTATTTGTAGATGAAGTAATGGAATGTCGAAATTTTAGTTGATATATTGGAATATTTGTGTCCTTGTAATCTTTGAAATTTGTAAATGAAGTAATGAAATATAAAATGTCGATATTCTAAACCTTATAGGCTATAACTTATATGTACATTAATATGAGCTAAATTTTATAGTTAATGAAAAAAATCTACAATTGTGGGTGATTCAGTTTTTTTTTTTTTAAATATTGAAATCGAATTCTAAAATTTCAAAGAAACAATACAAATAGCAAATGTTGTATAGTGGTATGGCATCAAAAGCAACATCCCTCTTTCTCTCGCTCGTGATTCCTAGTAATACTCCAATGCCTACCAAGTTGTTTACTATAGCATATCTTATAATTTTACTGATATTTCGTTTAGATGCATGGATGGTAAACATACCAATCGCAAAAGCTCAGTCTGCTGAAACGTTTGCTCCTTGCAAGACAGCAGAAGAATGTGATGCCTCCAATTGCGCCAGCGGGGAAGCTCTATGCATAAGGGGACAATGCCACTGTATCAGTTCATCAACTCATGTTGCGAAATCTAACAAAGTAGATGATTGAAAGCCATGCAAGGTGAAGACTGAAGAGTGATATATATATAGTGATTCTCTTATGCGATTGAAATGTGCCTCAGTGTCTTGTTTGTGTCTGTATGGCATTTGTTCTCTATTATATTACATTGTATCGATATATAAGTCTTTCTTTAATTGTTTTTTTTTTAACTACGATGATGTTAGCGACGACAAAAATCTTAGAGAACATATAATCATATACCTAATACTATATCTATAACATGATTACTACTTTGTTGTCACAGCTTGTTTGGTAAAAGGTATTATGGATTTTTCATAGAAATTTATATAATTTGAGCAATTTTCTTTTATCATGAGACTTATTTGGATATGTCATATATTTGGTTTTATATGGACCGAGTCTGTCTAGCATAAAAACTAGCTACATAAGTATTTTCGGACCGGTTCATAAATTTTCGGTTTAAGACAACATCTCTATGTTTTGACGTCAACGGCTCTATTTTACAATTATGTACTCATCTTTTTATCTTTAATGTGATAATATTACGTACGAGTATTCCGAAAGCGGAAGCTCGTGTTATCTATCTTCCTTGCTCCTCAAATTAACAGTGCCAAAAGCGGATTCACTGCTCGGGCGGGACAGCTTTATGTGAAAATGGAAAATGCCAATGTACCCGGAAATTTCAACACGGACGAGGATTGTGGATACCTTCTCTGTCATGTTGTAGAATGTTACTTATATAGATAGTTGTACATTTTACTTTACTAACTTTTGTTAATTAAAACCATTCGACACATGATAGAGATGTCACAAACGGGACTTTATCTTCACCCGACACACAAGCCAAAATATTAAAATATTTGTAAGTATATTACAAGTTCTATGGGTATGTAAAATTTACTCATTATTTAGATTGCACAGAATTAAAGAATAATAAAAGTATAGTTTCTTGTCATTAAATTAAAATAAGGTACCTTTAATTAATATGTATACAAATCAACCAGAAAAAAATACAAGAGAATCATCCAAATATTGACTAAAAGCCAAAGGTATTTAATTACATGTTGACTAAATTCTATAATACTATAAAAGGTCTTCTATTAATGTCAAAGTCATTGAAGATTAAAATCAATACATAACAAAAAAAGGAATTGAAATTAATTTCTAAAATTTTAAAGAGGCGGTACACAGCCATAATTTTTTTAAAGCACTAAATTTTTCTCAGTCATACTTTACACAGATTTTTTAAAGCTACAGATCTTTCTTTCATTTTTTAATTTTTTAGCTGTAGAAAGCAAAATATGTAAAGGAAAAAATTTGGACTTTGAAAAATTAATAATCATACAGCACTAAAATCTACATAATTAAAACTCTAAATCATATCAATCATAATTTATATGCTGTACACAGTAATATTTATGTTTAAAACTCTAAATTGGTTGGTTAGTTGTTGCTGTAGATGCTGTACACATCAATATTTATGTTTAAACTCTAAATCATATCAATCATGATTTATAAACTTTGTCTTTCCTTTATTTGCTCACAACCAAAATATTTCTTTTTTTTATGGCTGTACAAAGCATTATTTTCTAAAGCACATAAATTTATGTTTTCCAAATTTTATAATTATACAGCCAAGATTTTAAAGAAATAAAATCTACAACTACAGCAAAAAAACCTACAGCCATATTTTTACAGCAAAAACATAAAAATACAACTGTTACCAATCAGCCACAGCAAAAAACTTACAGATTTATTTTTTATAGCAAAAAAATTAAAGTTACAGCAATAACCAATCAAGCCCTATAAAAAGCAGAGAAGTCTGTAGATTGTAGCCATCATAAAATATGGCATCAAAGATCACATTCTTTATCCTCCTTGCTCTCGTTATCGCTTGTAAGTCTCTCTAGTCTCTCTCTAACAAGACTTTTACTTAAGCATACACATTGGATTTAGAGTTTGAGCATAACATATGATTATGAACCGACATGCTTCTTATCATTAATGATGGTGTGTATTTCTACAGCGGAAGCTCAGGTTTATCTTCCTTGCCATACACAAAGAGATTGCGTACAAATTCACTGCTATGGCCTCCCATCTTTTTGTATAAATAAGCAATGCGTTTGTCCGCAGACTCATCAAGCTAAACTCGACAGCCTTAAAACAATGAGTAATGCCCAGACGTGCAAGTTGACGAGTGATTGTGATCCTCGTATGAGATCTACATGTGTCTCGGGCTCGTACGTGTGTTTTGAAGGCTATTGTACTTGTGCACATTAATGCCTAGTATTATTAATACATGCATGTTTCTTGCTTTTTCTATCTTAGAAATAATTCCTCAATGATAATATTATAACATTTATTCTGAAAGTTTTTTCAATTGAGTGTGTGGTTTATGCTTACAGAGACAGAGATTGAGTAATTTATGAAATCCTTTCTGACAATCCGTAGTGATAAACTCCATCTCTATGGACTGAAAAATGCATTTGTTATTATATTTTTGGACCATATGTGTGCTCCGGTTTTGTGGTTTTGTAAACTAAATTATATTTACACAGCTTAATTAGTTTGTTGGCCATGATCTAATAATAGCCCGACTAGGCTTTATTGACAGTTTTAGTGTGAAATTCAGTTTCATATGGGATTCACCATTTCTGGAGATGATTTAAAAGTATATTAGGTATTTACCTATGTTATGCTGTGAGATATTTTTCTAAATTTTGTATATATTTTTAATATAATAAAATTATTTTTATTAAATAGATAAATTTATTTTTATTAGCTTAAGTTATGTATTTATATGTTTGAAATCTGAATAAATATTTTATATCCTTAATTTTTTTTTATTTTTCAAAATTATAATTTACGATCATATTTGTTTAGCTAACTACCTATAACTGTATATGTAAGAATAAAACAATACATTTTTAAGTATCTTTATACTAATGTTTTCTCCACTTAATTACTTTGTAACTATATAAAGCAAAATGTCATTTAAAAAAATATTAATTAATATGATTATTTTTAATTATATATTTTATTCATTTATCAAATATTTATTATAAACATATGTTTCTAAAACTACCTAACTATAATCAATAACATTTATATCAAAACCATTGCTATTGTTTTAGAGCTAAATAGAAAATTCTGTTTGAACTGTTGAAATATCAATTTAGTTAAGATTAGTTAATTAAATTTTGGTTATTGTAAACATATTGTAACTTGAAATTTTAGTACAAAAATTTTTTTATCTTATTATAAAAACGAGAAATCGTATTTTCCATCAAATAAAAAAACTTATTTTCCAACGAAACTGAGAAATCGTCTGTTCCTACCAAAAAAAAAACAAATTCTAGTCAAACCTGAAATTTAATTTTCCCACAATAACAGAGAAATTGCATTTTTCCGCAAAAACAAAAAAAAAATCACATTTTCCGGCAAGAACCTGTGTTTCCCAAAAAAAAAACCAAAATTTTACACCAAAACCAAAAAAATTCATCTTCTTGCAAAAATCAAAAATCATATTTTTCCATCAAAACCAAAAAAAAATTCATTTTTCCGCAAAACTGAGAAATCGTCTATTTCCGTCAAAACAAAAAAAAAAATCATTTTTTCTCGCCAAACCAAGAATCATGCTTTGCTACCAAAATCGGTAAACTACAATTTTTCACGAAAACTAAAAATTGCATTATCTCCCGAGAAATTACGTTTCTCGCGAAAACTATAAAATCACATTTTCCCGTAAAAACCAAAAAATCACATTAGATGTCAAAAACTAAAAATTTGCATTTCCCCTTAAAACCAAGAAATTGCTTATTTCCGCCAAAACCGAGAAACTTTGTTTTCCTATCAAATCGAGAAATTGTATTTTCTGCCAAAATTACCAAATTGCAATTTCCCGCGAAAACTAAGAAATCATATTTTCTCGCGAAAATAAAAAAATCACATTATCCGTCAAAAGTCGAAAATTTGTATTTCCTATCAAAACCGAGAAATCATATTTTTCGTCAAAATTAGAAAGTTGAATTTCCCATCAAAACCGAAAAATCGCATTTTCTCGTCAAAACTAAGATATTTTGTTTTCGCATCAAAACCAAATTTTTTTTTCTTACCAAAACCAAAAATTCATATTTTTTTGCCAAATCCAAAAATTTGCTTTTTTCCACCATAACCGTTAAATTATGTTTTTCTACCAAAACTGAAAATCATATTTTCCTACCGAAACTAAGAAATTCCCTATTCCCAACAATGCCTAGAAAATTTGTTCTCGGTAACCACCGAAAATGTGATTTGCCTTCAACTTCTATTTGCTTTCAACTTCTATTTTTTCGTAAACTTTGGACTTTCAAATGGGTCAGCAAATAGTAAACTGACTTTATTATTGTGTTGATGATATGTATTATTGTTATGTTTATTGGTTCAAATTTTTGTTGATGTGTGAGATTCTTATAACATAAAGCTTTTTACGTCGTTGGTATGGAAACATAGTAAAACCTCTATAAATTAATAATGTTAGGACTCTAAGATTTTATTAATTTATAGAATTATTAATTTATCGATAATTTAATATTTTATTAATTTATAGAGATATTTTCTGTTCAGCTTCTTAATGTTCATCGAAAAACCAAAAAAAAAATTTCAACGATGTATAATTCCTTCAAAAAAATGTCATGCTAATGAATTTAGAAGATAAATCAAACAAAACTTATAAACTTGAAACAAAAATACTATCATATTTTACTATATTATATTACTTACATATGCCTAAATATATAATTATTAATTTATATTATTATTTGGACCATAATTTTTATATAGGACTTTAGAAAAAAAAAGTATTATCTTATTATCTTATTGAATTTTGTCAATTTTTACACTGGTCTGACTTGGGACCAGCAAAAACTATTAATTTATAATGATTATTAATTTATCGAGTATTAATTTATAGAGGTTCTGCTGTAGATGTTGAGCCTATACTTTTTCAATCATATATACGTCTATGTCAAACAAACAGATAGCAAGATTTTTTTTTTTAATTTGCTGTTAGTTATTATTTGGGTTTGGATTTGGCAAACAATAAAACAAACATTTTTTTTTGCTGTTATTTATAATTTGGGCTTGGGTTTAGTAAATAATAAAATAAAATAAAAATTATTTGCTATTATTTATTATTTGGGCTTGAATTTGTTAAAAAACAAAATAAAGATTAACAAAAAATGTATTTAGGTTTTTAATGGGTTTAAGTTTAAAAGTTATAATAAGTAGATGAGTTGTATTATTAAAATATTTTGATTGATGAGTTTTTTTTACTGAAGTGTCATTTTAAAAAAAATTGAAAAAGCTGAAGTGTCATCTTCAGGAAAGACATTAGAATTATTATTGTATTAATTATATAAACTATTGTAATACATTTATTTTATTATTCTTATATATATGGTCATTCTTTTATTGTTTTTTGTGTGACCAAGACATTCTTTTAGTGTTATGATATATTTAAAAAGAAATCATAAATAAGTTAAAATGATGTAGATCTAGTCTTTAAAACATTTTTTTAATATATGTGAGAAAATCTAAACTAATCTATTTTGGGGTAAAACTGTAAGAGTGACAGATATATATATGGAGAGAAGGTTTATGAAACAGAGATCTTATATAACATTTTCACCAAAATTAACATTTCACACATTATTATATTTTTCCACAAGCACATCAGTGTGTCCACATCATCGCCATATCAGCAAATATCACTATAAAATAAGTTTTGTACTATAGAAAAGTTTGTAGGGACCGAGACAATATACGACAAATCTATGCTGTCCACATCCTAGGCGTTTATTTAGGATGAAAAATATTTTTCACTCCAAACATGAGGGCGCTATTGTCATTCACATACTGTAATAATGTGTTTAACATTTCAATACATACAAACTGAGATTTTTTTTAATGGTTACAATCTTATAAATTGAAACGAAAGCCTTTCTTATATAGAGAGCTTCTTAAAGCCTCCATATTACACTTTGAGAGAGCTTCTTTACACTTTCTTCAATGGTTTATTGTAAATCATATTACAATCTTTTCACCATTACAATTCTTCTTCTCTCCTTCACATTAACTTCTCTAAGTTCTCTTGCCGGTAACGCTGGAAACGGTGACGTAAGTGAATGCAAAGCTGAATCCGGAGATCCATTATGCCACAACAACAAAGAAGCACAAAAGCTTAAACTCATAGCAACCCCCATCGATCTTAGCGGCGAGCATGATCGGTGTTTCCTTACCGTTGTTCACTCGCTCGGTTCCTGCTTTAGGACCCGACCGAGATCTGTTTCCGGTCATTAAAAGTTTATCCTCAGGTGTTATTTTGGCTACCGGTTATATGCACGCTTTACCAGACTCGTTCGATAATCTCACCTCTAAAAGTTTGCCCGAAGATCCGTGAAGGAAGTTTCCGTTTTCATGTTTCATCGCGATGGTTTCCGCGTTGTCTACTTTGATGGCTGATTCGTTTTCAATGAGTGCGTATACGAAGAGAGCTATCAAGCGTGACCCACGAGTAAAAGTTAACCCCCTAAAAGATAGCTCTGACTCTTTGGAGAAACAAGATGATGACGTCAACACCCTAGAAAATGAATTCTAGTGTTGTAAAGAAACATGATGTGTCAAGTCAACTTCGTAGGAACAGAGTCATTGCTCAGGTATATATACAATTTTTATATTTTTCATACTTTTTTCGAAGTTGAAAACTAGAACCAATTTCAACTAAAGGAACTTTCTCGAGTCAATATATATTTCATGTACGAAAATTTTGCAATATGAAAAATTAGTTTGGACTTTGACTTAGAATTTTCATATCATCGATTAAAAATAAAGTCTCATGAGCCTTTTTTAAAATGATATTTCCGTGTAGATGTTGGAACTAGGTATTGTAGTACACTCGGTGGTCATCGGTCTGGCAATGGGGCTTCGGATAATCAATGTACCATACGATTGCTTGTTGCAGCGCTTTGTTTCCATCAGCTCTTTGAAAGAATGGGACTCCGTGGTTCCATTTTACAAGTAAATATATAAATATCCACTAAATACATCACTATATTCGATAATCAAACAGTAAATCTAATGTTATTATTTGTTTTTTAATAGGCGAAATATGGAAGAAAAACGAGAATGACAATGGCCTTCTTTTTCTCGGTCATAACACCGTTTGGGATTGCTCTAGGGATGAGAATACAAAAGATATATGACGGGACAAGCCCGACCTCGTTGATCGTAGTCGGGGTCTTGAATGCGTGTTCAGCGGGTCTATTGCACTACATGGCACTTGTTGATCTATTGGCTCATGACTTTTGTTGTAATTAATTTATTCTTATAATTGAGATTTGTTAAATTTTTCACAAATAAATTAATTCCATTTTCGAAGATTCAATTAAAAAGATAAATTAATTACAACAAAACAAGATATATAGTGTAAATAAATACTAGAAAATCATGAGAAAATGAATTCCATTCGAATCACCAATCCCCAGAGATTTTTAAATAAATAATCCAATTTTATTCCAAATCATTGATCCTAATTCTTCAGGTTATCTCTCAAATCCATCTATCAATTTGTGATTAATATCATCAATATTACAATTAAGGAGATTAATGGATTTATTGGGATTATGAGTTTTATGATTTAATAAATTTATAATTTATAATCAAATCTAGCATTATTGGTTCTATGATTTTAAAATTCATATTCAAATCATCTGTTATTAGTTCTATAATTTTTAAAATCATAATCTCTTTGTTATTGATTCTATGAATTAAATTCATGGATTTGATATAAAGGGGGTGGGGAGAGGGAGGGAGGTTCTTGTGACAATAATTTTAAAAGATTGTTAGAATTTTTGAAATCTATTGTTATTGGTTTATGGATTTTGACATTTTTATTAAAATCTAGTGTTATTTATTTGATGATTTTTAAAATCCATACAAAATCTATTGTTATACAAAAAGTTTGGATTTTAAGAACTCTATGGTTATTTTCAAATTCTATGTTATTCAACTAATTAATTCTAAATGTCTTACCAAAATCTATGTTATTGAACATAAAATTTATATAAAACCAATTAAAATCACTTACTTCTATGTTATTCAATGAAGAATTTGTAAAAACTAAGTCAAGTTATTGAAAATATTTTAAATAGTGGATTTTAAAAAATATAGAGTGCTTTTAAATAATTTTGGTAGAGTTTGTTAGTTAAATACATATATATATATATAACAAATCTCATTGTTTTATGTGAGATTTCATATAATTTTAATATCAAATCATCTCAACTTTTCTAATCTACAAAAAATCATCTAATTTTTTTTATTAAAACTCAAATTTCTTCAAATTCTCTCAAATTACGCATTGAATACACCCCCTATGACTCCATAAAAATATTTGTTATTCAGACATGGATTTCAAACAAATTAACACATGGACCAAAGATTTTAAAATTCTAGATATAATCCTGAGATTCTCAAAACCAATTTGAATAAAATATTTTAATTGATTTTCTAAGAATTCAAACTCTATTCAAATCTAACAATTTTTTTTTATAAATTTAATTAATCTAAATTCTTTCAACATTTAAAATCAAACAATTCTATATAAATCCTTTCCCAATAACTCTCTAGTATAATTTTGTGGATTTAAAAGAATTTTCATATCAAAAATATATACTCTGAAATATGTGGTAAAACCTATATATTTACAAATACTCATTAAAATTAACATGTAGATTTGGAAGTAAATGATTTGTTAATCGTATATGGATTTCCAAATCAACTAAAATGTATAAACTAATAACACCAGTAGTAAAGAAATCTTATATAATGGCAAGTTAAAAGAAATTCAATTAAATACAATCTGTTACCTAATAAGCAATAAGGAAGAAGGTGAAACTTTTACAAAGACCACATTGAATGTTGAACAATTAAACACCTATATAATCCATTTGAAACTAAAAATTCTAAATTCATTACTTTTCTCCATCTACTCTGGAAAAAAAAATGGCTTCAAAGTCAATATCCATCCTTCTCCTGTCTTTTATGCTATCTTGTAAGTTTTTTTTTCTCTAGCTATATCTCTATTTACGTATATCTAAAAACTAAACAAACTCCAAAGCATGTTTAAATATCGTGACTAAATCAAATCTTTGATTAACATGTAGGTGCAATCATGTTGCTTGTGGCTGATCTAGCAAGAGCAGGGAGTCCTCGTCCTTTGCCACTATGCAGATCGAAAAATGAATGCGAATTGGGCATGTGGTGTGGTGATGGGAAAGGAGGAAAGTGTTTCGCTTGGACTTGTGACTTGCAAGAAGATTGTCTAAAACGTGTTCGTTGCAGTGATACACCAGGGCCTTACTGTATGGAAGGAATATGTCAGTGTTAAAGAAAACGCATAATTTTTTTTTATGTAACCCAATTTCTAATGCATTAAGGGAATAAGATAATGTTTTGCGCGCACACACACAAAAAAGGGAATAAAGATAGATTTTGCAATTCTGACATTTTGCCTACAGTTACAGAGATTCCAGATTCACCGAAACCAATATAAAGAATTTATTAATATGTAGACAGAAAGATAACTTGATATTTTAAGTTTTATACAATTTCAATTAGTTCATATATTTCAAATGTTTTATTAAGTTTTATACAGTTTAAATTAATTATTTTTTTGCATATTTTTATGTTCTTTATGCTTTGAAAAAGAGTATGACTTGTTAGAGAATACGCCCAATGGGACTCTCGGTTTCAATCCACAACATTCATCATCGTCAATCTCTTCTTAATTCCGCCGTCATCGTCAATCTCACATTTCTCCATTGATTGCAGATTGATACGATTGCACATATCATTAATATAATTTTGGATATTTGTAATTATGATTGATTGATCTTTTGATTCCTTTTGCTTTGAATATATTTCTTAGGATGAACTCTTGAATTAATACACATAAATTTCTCATCTCCTCCTTCTATATGTCTGATTATTTTCATGACTATTTAAAGTAATTGTTTAATTCATATACAAAAGTACTAGATGAAGTAATGAAAAGGTGTAGATATTTTCTTTAATATGTTTTAGCATATTTGTCTTTGTAATTATTTGTAGATGAAGTAATGGAATGTCGAAATTTTAGTTGATATATTGGAATATTTGTGTCCTTGTAATCTTTGAAATTTGTAAATGAAGTAATGAAATATAAAATGTCGATATTCTAAACCTTATAGGCTATAACTTATATGTACATTAATATGAGCTAAATTTTATAGTTAATGAAAAAAATCTACAATTGTGGGTGATAAAAATAATGAAATCGAATTCTAAAATTTCAAAGAAACAATACAAATAGCAAATGTTGTATAGTGGTATGGCATCAAAAGCAACATCCCTCTTTCTCTCGCTCGTGATTCCTAGTAATACTCCAATGCCTACCAAGTTGTTTACTATAGCATATCTTATAATTTTACTGATATTTCGTTTAGATGCATGGATGGTAAACATACCAACCGCAAAAGCTCAGTCTGCTGAAACGTTTGCTCCTTGCAAGACAGCAGAAGAATGTGATGCCTCCAATTGCGCCAGCGGGGAAGCTCTATGCATAAGGGGACAATGCCACTGTATCAGTTCATCAACTCATGTTGCGAAATCTAACAAAGTAGATGATTGAAAGCCATGCAAGGTGAAGACTGAAGAGTGATATATATATATATATATATACATATATATATAGTGATTCTCTTATGCGATTGAAATGTGCCTCAGTGTCTTGTTTGTGTTTGTATGGCATTTGTTCTCTATTATATTACATTGTATCTAGCTTAGGAGGAATTTGTCATTACGTTCGATGTATAAGTCTTTCTTTAATTGTTTTTTTTTTTTAACTACGATGATGTCTGCGACGACAAAAATCTTAGAGAATATATAATCATATACCTAATATATCTAAAATACTCTTAACTTAACCTAAAGCAAGCAATGGGATCTGGTCGACGGTTCAGACAACGAGTTTGAGATATTTGTCCCAAACTCTACTATAGATCGGCCAAAATCTCTATGCAACGGAGTTCAATTTCTGAGAACAACACACTGTAACATGATTACTACTTTGTTGTCACAGCTTGTTTGGTAAAAGGTATTAGGGATTTTTCATAGAAATTTATATAATTTGAGCAATTTATTTAAGTTATTAATAACATGAGCTTCCGCTTTCGGAATACTCGTACGTAATATTATCACATGAAAGAAAAAAAAAAGATGAGTACGTAATTGTAAAATAGAGACGTTGATGTCAAAACATAGAGTTGTTGTCTTAAACCGAAAATTTATGAACTGATCCGAAAATACTTAGCTGATTTTTATGCTAAACAGACTCGGTCCATACAAAAAAAAAATGTCTCATGATCAAAGAAAATTGTCTCAAATTATATAAATTTATTTGAAAAATCCATATTACCTTTCACCAAACAAGCTGTGACAACAAAGTAGTAATCATGTTATAGTGTGTTGTTCTCAGAAATTGAACTCCGTTGCATAGAAATTTTGGCCAATCTATTGTTCAGTTTGGGACAAATATCTCAAACTCGTTATCTCAAATCCACTATATATATGTCACTCTTACAGTTTTACCCCAAAATAGATTAGTTTAGATTTTCTCATTATATTAAAAAAATGTTTTAAAGACTAGATCTACATCATTTTAACTTATTTTTGATTTCTTTTTAAATATATCATAACACTAAAAGAATGACCATATATATAAGAATAATAAAATAAATGTATTACAGTGGTTTATATAATTAATACAACAACAATCCTTGTAACTCTCTTGGAGATGACATTTTTTTCAACTTTCTTAACATGACATTTCAGCAAAAAAACTCACCAATCAAAATATTTTATTAATACAACTCATCTACTTATTTTAACTTTAAAACTTAAACCCATTAAAAATTCAAATACATTTTTTGTTAATCTTTGTTTTATTTTTTTTTAACAAATTCAAGCCCAAACAATAAATAACAGTAAATAAATTTTATTTTATTTTATTATTTGCCAAACCCAAGCCCAAATTATAAATAACAGCAATAAAAAAATAAATGTTTGTTTTATTTTTTGTTAAACCCAAACCCAATTCATATATATAATTAGAGAAGTTTCTTTCCATCTAGAATGTCCACATCAACATTTTTATTTTTATTTTTTGGGCTTTTAAGTATTTTGAGTTTTTAAATAATATTAACTTATGTGAGTTTACTTTTATGTAGGTTTTTTTGGTCTTTTAAGATATTAACTTAAAAACAAAATACTAATTTTATAAAACACAAAAGCTGTATGTTTTTTATAAAAAAAAAGTATGCTAATTCTAATAAGAAACAAACAGGACGTAGAAACATGTTAAAATTAAAAAAAAATATGAAAGAACTTGCACATAATAGTTGTTGAAGTTTTTAAAAAATATGTTCAGAAAAATGTATGCAGAAAACTAAAATGAAATCATTTCTTTACGTTGTAAAATGAATGAATGTTTTTCATAAATAAAAGATGAAAATTTTGTTGTAAAAAAAAGACTAAACTTGAAATCATGTAGCATAAAAATAAATATGATCAATAGAATAGGTGAAGACAAAAAAAAACCTATACAAAAGGAACAAAAGATTTAGGACTGTTGTGATTGAGAATGATTTATAAAAACAATTCTCTCCAATGAAGATATACATCTTAGCAAGTAATTTTTTGTTTTTTTTTATTGACTTCTACATATTGTGATCTTTTATTTATCAGCTTCTATATATTTTAGGTTTGTACTTTTTAGGTTTTCATACAAAAGTGGAAAAAACAAATAATTATTTTACAAATCATAAAAATTAAAAAAAAAATTATGCAATAAAAAAGTGAAAATACTAGTTGTAATAGAAGACAAAAGAATGTAAAAAAAACATTTTGGAAGGCGAAAAAATACAAAGAATAACAGAAGAACTTGCGAAAGATAGTTATCAAATTTTATTAAAAAACTTGAGAATATATATATAACTAAAGTAAAATTATTTATATAAAATAAATACTTATTTTATAAAGGGATGATAACTGTACTAACTTTAGAAAGTGAGTTTATAACTAGAAAAGCCTAAAAGTTTTTTTATTACTAATTTAACCTATGGTACCGATATTACCCTTAGGTTCTTTGTTAGAAAAAACGTATATTTCAAAATTGCCATTACTTTGAAGTTGCCACGTATGCAAAAAATAACATCATAAATCTACCGTATTAAGTGGTAGATATATTGTAGGTGGTCAACGAATAATTGAGAATGGTAGATTTATTTGAAATTAATAGATTTATTTCGGTAGATATAATCTAACGACTTGGTAGATATATTTGTGAAAGGTAGATATATTTGGAATCTGGTAGACTTAATCGTATTGACGGTAGGTATATTTTGTAATTGGTAGATTTGAAGAGATAAATCTACCATACTGAGTAGATATTTGACTTGTGACAAAGATAAATCTACCATATTACGGTAGACAAACTTAGACGTCGGTAGATTTAAATTGTGAGGTAGTAGATTTATAGTGTGAAACATCTGTTCAACGGTGATGGTAGATTTATAGATTTGGCAGTAAGTTTATTTTATTTTGGTAGATTTATATATTTATACGGTAGATATATATTCTGGTCAACTTGTTCATATCATTATGGTAGATATATTATAAGTGTTGGTGGGTTTATTATTGGTTAGTAGATTTGTTTGGTATGATAGTAGATTTACATAAATTTATGAAATTTACATGAGTAACCTGGTATGACAGTAGAGTTTAACTGTACGTGTAATGATAGACGTTTAGTGACGGTAGTTATTTGACTTTTTTATAGCTCGATATGTTTTTTCTTGGAGACAGTTACACTACCTTTGTTATTGGCAATTCATAGGAACATGTGACAATTTGAAAACAGAGAGTGTATTGATACATAGAGAGTTTAAACATAAATAACAAAAAATGCGACATGAAAGCTGCAGCATACCCCTTACACCGCCATCACAAGAAGGATATCCAGGAAAGTACGACCATCATATTTTATCTTTTAGTAGTTGGTACTGAACGAATAGGTAGCACTCAGCACAGCTAATTAATCTGTGTTTGAAATTGCATTTTGGTGGAAAATCGTCTGCATCAAATACGTTAGGCAACAAACCTCCACCCTCAGCTTGCATACCCTTTATGGTGAGAGCAACGTTTTCAGCTAACTCGACCATGTAGTGCATGCGTGATCTCCAGCTTATTACACGGTCTAGGATTTCAACTGCTCTAGGATATAGACCACATGCAATGGCACAAATTGCCATCAAGAATGTTGCGTGGTCTATCCCCAGTTTGGAAGCCTTGTTGAAGTTGGGGATGGCAAGTTCGAGGTCACGGCGAAGCACTATTGATCTCAGACCATGCAGATAAATCGCCGTAGGATTTTCCGATGAAAGAGCCAAATTAAAGAAGACAGGATATCGATCAATCAAAGTGGGATCAGCAACAAAGTCTG